ACGGGCCCACAGGTCTTACCTGGGAGTAATGCTGGGTTTGAAAATAAACCACTGGGTCTTCTTTCCATTGTCCCTCATGTAGTCATTCACACCAGGCCTATGCAGGTGTGGAAGTCTTTTAAATCAGGCTGGCAGTGGTCTTAAACCATACACAGGTTAACATGACTAGAGAAGGAGCCAAGGGTAGAATAAAAACCCATCAGGCTTATTAAGGATGTTCCTTTTATTTAAAAAAAAAAAATCATTCTTATTGAAGTAGAAGTAGAAGCTTTTGGTAAAAAACTGAAAATTCATTACTTAAAACAGAGAGTTGCTACTTATATAAAAGTAGTTTATCAGCTGTTTACAGAGAAGCATATATATTGAGAGGACTAATAATATTTGTTGGTTTGTAGAAATGATGGCTATTTTCTATAAACATGTTTTATTATAGCTGGCATGTGTATACTTTCAGACACCTCCGAGTTTCTCCACAGGTGAAACATCCTGAAATTTAACAGCCATTTGTTATCTACATTATTGGGAGATTTCCATTCTGAGGCAGTTACCCTTCTAGCTGCAAGGAATAGATGATGCAAAAGAGAACAAAAAGGATCAATTTTGAAACCAACTTCATAGCCAGAAAAGCTAATCTGGGAAGTTAGATTGATTTGAACTTCAAAATATATTAGAACAGAGAAATGATACTTGCATCCCAATGTGTTTGTCAAAAGGACACTGCCAAATTGTACACAATCCTTCCATGTTAATGCCCCTAAATCAAGGATCATTCCTGCAAACAGTTGAGCACTCTTGCCTTGATCCAGTAAAGTAGCTAGGCATGTACTGAAAACAAATACGTATTCCCACTGAAGCTGAGGGATTCATGTAACATTCTTCTTGCAGAATTGGATCCACTTGGTTTCTTTGAGGTGGTGTCCATCTTCCTTTCTCCAGGAATAGATCATATTCAGGTTCCCACACCTGCTAGGCTTGGGGGCCATTGGAAGATATCATGGGCCCAGGAGTTCGGTCCCTAAATATCTTTAAAAATCTAGCACATAGGATTTATGACTGTAAGGGCCCTCCTTCCATAGTTGTTGAACCTAGTCCTCTGCTATAACAAGCAATAATGTCAGATAATACTATTGATAATTTATCAAGCTCCATCTTAAAACTAATTTGGCCATTTGTCCTGACTATTCCTGTTCAAATCTGGTCCTTCATACCGGGTCTTCATCCCTCACTCCATTCCATTGGCTGGCTGGCTGGCCAGAACTTTCCTTAAAGAGAGAGGAAGAAATCTTCCTAACACACAGTGGTTCTGTGGAAAAGGGATTAGAGCAACATGATTTGATCCTTTTTGCTGGCTGTACATTGGTTTAGCTTCACTTAAGTCAATGGAATCACAGCTGGGGCACGTCTACACAAGATGCTTCCTGAACATTAGCCTAATAACACTGCACAGTAGTGTGGCAGTTAAAAACCGTGGTAATAGCCTACTGTGCAGTGTTATTAGGCTAATGTGCAGGAAGCATCACAAAAAACTGGTGCACTGGCACTACTGCACGTAACTAGTTACTGTGCATTAAGTTAATACTTTATTAAGCAAGTACTAAACTAAATGAGCAGTACCTAAGGTGCATTAATGAACTTGTAGACATGCCTACTGACCTGTTACTGTAATGGATGGATATGTGGGTCGACAGGCTGTATTACTTTTTCTCATGTTAGCTTCAGAGAACCAATGTGTAGATGATGTGCACTGTCCTTCTCTGGTCCCTTTCTCTGGCCTGCCCTAATTTCTGTTGACATTGACTGCTCAATGCCTAACTCTTATATGACTAAGTGGTAAACTTCTCCAGACACGACACAGAAGGTAGTCAAACTGGAAAGGTGAGGGAGGTTTCACCACTAGCCTATTTCTATTACCAATTTTAAATTTAAAAAGTAGAAGAGAGAGAAAAAGATTGCATGTACCATTATTTTTGGCAGTACACACCATGACTTCTTCCCCAATTAAAGCACTGGAAAATATTCCCATGCTTCGTACTCATGACAGGATAATAGAAGAAGCATTTGTGTAAAAATAAAAACATACTTCTATTCTAGGATCTTTTTTCCTATACCTTTTTTCTATTTTTGCCGAACAGCTGCTTTCTCATTGAAGCAGGTGACATGCTCATATATAGTGGTGTGAAAAGTGAGTCTTATTTACAGAAAAATTCTGAATTTCAAACTTTCAAGATACAAATGGCTCTACTTGAAAACAAGATTACTTTTCCTTATGCTCAGAAACAAATGTGTAAGCAAATGGACAAACTTTTAAATTGACTTTTTTTGGCTCAAAAATTGTTCTATTTTCAAGCCAAACCCTATCTATTTTTTTTGTGAGATGTCTACAATACAATGCTAGAACTATGAATATCGACTATATTTCATTGCATTGTGAACATTTGCAACTCTCTCGGAAAGGAGAAATAATTCTAAGCTTGATGAGTTACAGTTAATTATGTTGTACACACATTTGTGTCTAAAGTGACCTTTTGAATAAAAAAAGTGTTAAAATAATGAAACATCACTTAATTGAGCTGCCAGAAAAGAGCAGTGATTTGTCTCAGTCAAATCTAAAGGTAATTCTGGGAGACCTTTATGGAGAATTATACTTGTTCTCCCCAGCAATAGTATAGTTCACTCAGGACCCAACCTGAATTTTCAGAGGTTAATACTGTCCAAAATAATAAAGGATACAGATGTCTCTACTTAAACCTTCCAGTCACTTGTGCTTGGGCACAGTGTGAGCTTAGATGCCAACATTCTGGCTTCTCATGAATTGTCCCAATGTCCAGGGTTATAGTGCTAGTTGAGGCCCCTCTTTTGGGTCTAGACTGCTCTTGCAGCACAGATATGGTTGTGTCCCTCATATGCTCCCTGGTTAAATCCCACTCATTCAGGTTTGGGTGGGACAGGATACTGCCCTTTCCAGCTGCTTGTGCTGAAGCAAAATGGCAAAGTGCTTTTTTTATTCATATGTAGATGGTGTGGTGGGCCAGTAGTGGGTGCTCCTGCACTGAGATACCCACCTCACTGTGCCTGACCGCCTTCCAGGCTCCAAATACCTGCCTGGGAGTGCCTCACGTCTGGCTGACCCCCTTCCTGAAGCACACCTGCTAGCCTGGGGGTAGAGTTGCCACCACCCAGGGCTGGGCTTGATTCTGGCATGGTGTCCTCTGGGAAACACAGGCATAGTAGCCCTCGAGGGTACTTGACTCACTCCAAGAACTTGGGATACTTCCCTCAGTCGGAAGCACAAGTAGTGGTCTCCCTTAGTCAGCTGAACCAAGGGGGACCCCAAGGCATAATCTAGACCCACTCCCAATAAGTCTCCCACGCAAGGTACGAAGGAGAACTTTATTGGTTACAAGGAGTAGGTTTGGAATAGAGTACAGAGTTGAGTAGTATCAGAGAAATCCCATAGAGCAAACAGGGTGGCTGGAGTAGCCTTTGATCACACATCTGAGTTGCTGCAAGCTATATATCTAGTTAGATCTGAGGTAGCTTACCAGATATCATCCAGAGGCAGGTGGAGATTCCCTCTGGAGGCAGGCAGTTCCTTGATCATGAGTTTTGAGAGAGAGAGTAAGTTTCAGATGGTGCAGCTCTTCTCTCTCTCTGAGTTTTCCTCATGGCTTTTGCCTCCTCTTCCTGGCAGTCCTTAACTTATATAGCCCTTATGACCTCATTGACCTGGTTCAATGGAGGCCAGCACCCGTTGGATGTCAGCCAGCCAATTTGAAATGCATCACTGGTTGCTGGGCAGACTGGCAATCTCTAGCCCACCAGGGAGCCCAAGCCCCTCACCCAGGTATGTGATGCCAGTCACGTAGGCAGAGGGAACAGGTTTCCCCTCTCCCTCAGGAATGTATCCAGCTCAGGTTACCTAAAGAGATAGGGTAAGGTGTGTACCCTCTGCATGGCCCGTACTAACCAACTTGTCACAGAGCAGTTTTTGGGGAGAAACAGAGGTGGCCTTCTGCCACAACGGCCGCCCTAGACAAGGCTTGGGGAGCTCTGGCGCAGCCTTCATTTTTCTAAAGGATAAATACATCAAGGCATGGCAGGAAAGAAGGGAGCTGATGGCCTTCTTTCATACTTCTTCATCAATCAGTGCCCCTAGATATTGCAACGACCCTTTCACACTACAGCCGCTTCACAGAATGGATACAAACTGCCTGATTTTGAATTTTCAGCTATGTAAAAGGTAATAGGATTCATGATGGATTTGGTCATAAGTGTAAACCAGGTCTTTGTAGGAATTTAAGCAAAAGCAACACATTTATGAAAACTACTATAATTTATCTGTTCCTCTGATTCTAATCTGTAAATTTATCCCCCATGGGTCTGAACAATAATTGCTATCTGATGTAGGGGTAGCTGTGTTTAGGGGTAACTTGCCTAAAGAGACCATCTCGGTTAATATTGTTTAGACTTTGATACCTCCAAAGGCACTTCATGGGGTTATCTTCAAAATGATTGCATCGCTTAATCCCTGGCACTTGGATTTAGTGAGTTTTCTTCTTTCATGTAAGCTACTCACTGCTCTGGTTGTGTAACTGCTTGTCAACAGAGTGAAAAAAGAAATAAAGAATACATTTTTATTATTTATATGCTGGAGCAAAAACTGTGTAGTATGAGGAAATGATAAGAAGTGTTGCATCCTCAGAGGAGGATGCTTAGAAAAGCATTAAGGAGCTGCTAAAAGCATCAGGAATGACATCCTTTATTGCCATGGGTCTGTTAACATGCACTGTATTTATATTGCAGTCCTAATGTATTGATAAGTACTCATAAGCATATATTGACAAAGTGTTAACAAGTGCCATGTCCTTTAAACTGTCACATCCTTCATTCCTTAATAGATAATGTATAGAAATTGTCTATAAATTTCATCATTATATTGCATGATCATTGTGTCCCATCCTGATCCATAACACTGCTCTTATGTAATTTATTTTCTTCAGTTTGGATACAACTGGCCCCCGACACCAACAGATATCCCATCAAACTCTGAACCAGAGGCATAACAGGATGGAATATCAGCTTCACCACCCACAGTTTGGGCAAGAAGAGTCTTGGCTATACCAGATGGACAACTAAAAGAATACCTTTTGGAAGTATTCTTCCTAGGACAGTAAATTGATGTGGATTTTTCAAGATTTCTACAACTTCCTGTAATTCTTAGTTGGCTTCTTCCACCCCTTTAATATGTTCAAAGGTGACATTTTCCATTTAAACATTTTTCAGTTTGAATTGATTAGCTACTGCATCAAGTCCAGATGTTGTCTAAAAGTGGATGGTATCAGAGAAAGAGTATGAGATTAAACTGAAGTTTTTGACAAGCCAAACAGTAACAGGAATGAAAAGATATGTTCATTGTAAGGAATTATTTGTTCTTTGTGTAAGCACCACATGCATAGTGAGAGCGTGTGATTTTGGGACCAGGGATCAGATCCCCTTTGTTCTATTGTGGCTTGCCAGGACAAGGAGAGCTTTGGATATTAAACCTATGGTTTAACATCTGGGAGCTTCTGATCCTCTGCCCAGCAGCCCAGCCAGAACTTCTGGGAGTGGGGTTTAAAGTTTGGGGGCCTCCAATCCCCTACACCCAGGGCTGAGCCAGAATTGCCAAACATGGGGTTTAAAGTCACTCTTCAGCTTCCCTCACTTTCCCTCCCTAGCCTTGGGCTGGAGTTAACAATTAGCTGATTGTTGGTGACAGTGCCACTTCAGACTCCAATGCAGGCAGGGCCACAGGACCAACAATATGCTAATGGCCCCAGTCACATGTTAAATGTAAGGCACCATGAAGACCAGCCCCAAAAATGTTCTACATTACATGGGTATGTGGAACATTTTTATGGCTCTTTTCCCATTTTATGGGGCCTTAATTTGGGTGAATGCATAGCATCCTTCATTTAAGCTGTGATGAACTGTTTAGTCATGGCATATATATAATGTATAGAGGCGATCTGCAAATCATTCAGGTGTTATTTGTAGATGTCTTTCTCTTCAAGTCAAAGTCTGGCCAGCACTCAAGATCTAAACACGGACTTTTGACAGGACTAGAAGTCTATACAAGGGGCCTAGGAGTTAACAAGGGCAAAGTACTGAAAAATTCTTTGAAACCACGTCTATTGTCAAAGGACTGTGCAGAGATAGGATGCATGCCATCATGAAGACATTATTTTTTTTTTTCATAAAAGCAATCGGGCCACTAGTTCATTGGGCTGGTAAAGTTTCAAACAGACAATGTGCTTGCAGTTGCTGAACATATGAACAGTGAACTCTCTACCACCTCTGCATCCCACTTCTTCCTGTTCTAGACTTGCTACTGGCTTTAGGAACATGTCCACTTTGTGGCCAGCAAAGACTGGGCTGTCTGATCCCTTGGAAATGTATTGAGTGGGAACGTATTGAGTGTCTAATGACCCCTCCCAGCCTCTGCCTCCTTCTTTCCTCTTCAGTTCCTTTTCAGCAATACCTGCTTATGTTTATTTGCACTGTTTAAACATGCTTAGTGAAAAGAAAAGGGGTGTTTTTCATAGATATATATTTTTCAATCCTTTTAATTTTGGCCTTTGTGTATGTCAGCATAAAAGGCAAAATTTAATTCAATTTAAGTGACCCTTTAAGTAACTGGGTCATAGCTGTTGTAAAGGAAAAAAATTCAAAGTTGCCTTTACCAAAAGATAGTTCTGTAACTGATATACTTCGGTCTGCTGCATTTTAATGTATTTTTGAGTCAGCATACTTGCCTGACTGCTTTTAACAAGCAGCAAACCACTGTGTGCAAGCTACTTTGCTAGCAAAGCAGAGATCTGTCTGCAGAAAAGTAAGATGCTCCTTGTCCTGACTAGAGGAGACATGTGACAAATATAGGTCCACATCATGAGGTTCAGCTGGACTGCAGTCAGCCACAATTTGGGTATACTATGTGGGCATGTCTACATGAGACTCTGCAATAGCCTGATACTACTGTGCAGTAGCGTCACGTGGCAAAAACCATGCTGAGATGCTACTCCACAGTAGTATTAGGCTACTGCGCTGTAGCATCACTTAAAAGGTGTTTGCCGGTTCTGCTGCACAGTAACTCTGGTTACTGTACATTTATTTACTACTTGCTTATACAAGTGCTAAATAAATGCTGAGTAACCACCGTGCAGTTGCATCTGGTATAGATGCTCCCTGTAGGCACATCCAGATGAACGTGCACGTGCCTCTTGCAGCATGTCAGACCCCTTTGAGATGCTGCAAGAGGCACATGTGGGAACAAAAAAAAGTTCCCTGTGCTGCAAATTTGCAGTGTGAGGGCAAAATTAAACCTCTGGATATCCAGGGGTCAAACAATACCCTGGGAGAAAGTGGGGCAGGGCTCGTGGTTCCCCAAGTTATTTTGCCCCAAGTGGCACAATTTGCTCCACAACAAAGTGCATGTCCGGGCATGTGCGCTGAGGGGAAAAAGCCCTGGCTCAAATTTCCACCACTTTTATTTGAGCTGCTGCAAGCACATGTGCTTGCATGTGTGGACGCGCCCGGTGAGTCTACAGCTCAACTTTGCACTCTAGTTCTGGGGTTATGATGCGAGGAGCCAGCCTTCTCCCCCTAGCAGTAGTTTCGATGTTATCTTATTGTACTGTTTGTACAATAGATTTTTAAAATGCTTTGTTGTTTTTCATGAGGACATTGGACATCATGTTCCAATTTGTTCTGTGATTAACATATTAATTGTGCTATAAATGTCATGTCTGCCAGGAGCCTACATTCATTCTTAGTCCAACCTGTTCAAATCCCTGAAAATCTGTATTAGATCCACTGTGGTAACACACCATCATCTTACCACACCTGAAGACTTTTGAGTCATGTCAGTGTTGGAAAGAGGAGGAAGACTCACTTGTTGTATTGACTCTTTTTTTCCAGGGACTTGAGCAGGGTGGGCTAGATGTGTATATAGGTACCTAAATCACTTACATTTTGTAAGGCCTTTACACTGCAGCCAGGTAACTAGGTCAGCAACACTCAGCCCCTTAAGCAAGGCCAGCTGAGCCTCAATTGACTGGTTTCTTCTAAGGAACTCTTGTAGGACCTGGTTTCTGTACCTGGTAATCCCACTGGCTTGGGGTGTGGATTCTGGTTTGACTTTGGCCTGCCCCCTGTCAACAGATGCTGGTAATACCCCCAGCTCTGGATCCTGACTTACGTTTAGTAGGTGGAATAGAATTGGCCTCATTTGTCTTGAGCATTTTTAAATCTCTTTTCTATGCCACTGAATTGTGTGTACAATTCAACAAAACCAAGAACAATAACAGGCTACTCACATTACTTGGCATAGAAAAGTTATTTGAAACATAATGAAAGCTTGTTTCTTATTATTCCAGTTCTGTGCATGGTAGGTAATAAAAAACTTGATTTATATAATGTTGGGGAATTTGCTTATTTTTTTGATTGAGAATCACTGGGTTAGTGACCAGTGGACTGGAAGTTAGGAGACCTGGGTGCACCTGTGGACATTGTTGGGCAAGCCACTTCACTTCTCTGTTTCTATTCTTCAACGTACTACAATAAAGGAAATAATAACTAATAATAACAGTGTTGTTGAGGTGAGGAGCTGTGCAGCTATTGGTAAAACCATATGAGCCTGAATGGTGTGTCTGCAAACATCTGAATTAGATTGGGGAGAACAAAATACAAATGTAAGCTTAATAGGTTCAAAGAGGTGGTTTCTTGTGAACTTACCCAGCTTGTGAGGAGAAGAAACATTATTCAAAATTGGTTTGATGGCTAATCTGATTGCTGTAGCTGGAAAGTTAAATTGAAACACAAAAAAATGAAGGTTTTGGAGTTGTGAATTAATTAGAAAATTATCACAGAACTGGTAAAGGAAATACAAGACAGTGAATAGTTTTTGTTATCTTGGTATAACAGCATTTAAATTAAAAAGATGCAATTAAACACAGCCTGCAAACAAGTGGAAATCACATTTGTGGTAAGATAAGTACTAATAGGGGTTTGTTTTGTTTTACACCAGGATATAGTTTTTCCAAAATTGAGTATGTCTGAAGAAGGAATAGTTGCTTTGGACAACATGTGCATTTATGACATACTAGGCAGACAGCAAGGAGAGAACTTGTGGCAGGGCTGGAGTCAAGCAACGCTGTAGCTCCAGTCACTTAGGCCTTCCCTCTCACTCATCTGTCATAACTTGATGTTGTTTGGAAAGAAAAGGTTGGGAGGCAGCCCAAGGGCCCAAGGAACCCAGTCCACTGTCAAGCCGCTCTCTATTGGGACACCATTTGCCTTAAGGGCTGTGTTTGTGATCTTCCGACTTCCTGTACAGCCATGCCCATGCCTTGCAGGTGTTACCCACTGTTCTCACTGTTTGACCCTTCAGGCCTCAGAGTCCTCATAAGAGTCTCAGCCCTCCTGGCCTTGGCTCTTTCTATCTAGCTGGGTTTTCTTGCCTTAGGCCCACTGCCTGGGGCCTCAGCTTCTGGGCTCATCCCCCTAGGCATTCCCCTTATTTATCCCCAGGGTTAATAAATTGGGCATAAATGCTGCCTTATCTGAGACAGGTGAGTGGTAGGCTTACACCAGTGTTTGCCCCTAGGACTGATGACCCACTTGGTCCTCCCTGCTGCAGCTTCTGTCTGCAGCTCTTATCTTGGCTGCCCATTTGCTTAGCAGGCTAGTCAGCCTCTGGTTCCCTGTTACAGAAGTGTTAAGTGGAGGAAAAAGATGTTCATCCATGTGAATCTTGAGACAGAAACCAGTCTCAGTAACTATCTTCTTCATTCAGCTACAGCTGCCTAATTATTTTTAGTTGACTAAAATCCTTGGGCTAGTTCAGAGGTGCTCAGTCCCTGGTCTGCAGGCCAGATCCTGCCACTGCTTCCCCATTGCCAAATCTGCAAGCCCCACGTGGCTGGATCAGCTCTGGCTGGCCCGGTCCTGTGCAGAAGACTTGGGCCCTGGCCATATCTGTGTGCGGCTGCATTGGGTCTCAGCTGGGCCAGCCCCATGTGGAGGGATGAGGTCTGTGCCCAACCTGTGTGCATTTGAATGAGGCCCTGGCTGGG